CGGGCCCCCCTGGTATTTGTCGTCCCCCCCCGCCGCTAGCCCTGGCCCCGCCCCCGCGCTGGGGCCGCCGAGAGCGGTGATGAGGGGGGCGTGCCTTCTCTCTCCCGCTTTTCTTGACCGTTCTTTGGAAAACTCTAAAGAGAATAACCCAAATCTTTAAAAGCAAGGGAATAAAGAAAAAAAAAACCCAAAAACTCAAACGGCCGCACCAGGACGCCGCCATCTTGGATGAAGGCAAGCAGCACCCTGCCCTCACCCAAGATGGCCGCCGCCCTGAGGGGGCGGGAGCCGGGCCCGCGCGGGGGCCGCCGGGACGGTGGGGGTGTGTCGCCGGCGGCGTGAGGCGGCCGCGGCTCCGCCCCGGGTTATATGAGGAGGCGGCGGCGGCGGGGAGGGTGGCGAGCGGCTGGTCGTGCTCGGGTGACATGGCTTTGCTCCGGGAGGACGCGCAGAGTAAGGTGAGGAACGGCGGCCCGGGTCTCGGCGGAGGCGAGCTGTGGGGGTGCGGTAGCCCTCGGTGCCGGGCTGGCCCTGTGGGGTGTGAGGGAGCTCCCCGCCCTTTCCCTCCCCCTGGAAGCACCGCGGTGGTGACGGGTTTTTATTTGTGTTCGGTTTGAGGTTTGTGGTTTTTTTTTTTTTAATCCCTGCGCTGCTTGCTGCTTGCACCCGAGGTCCTCTGAGGGCGGGTGATCAGGGCGCAGCTGCCCAGGGTGAGCGTGGGGTGCTGGAGAAAGATAGAAAAGGGGGGGGGAGGCAGAAAAAAACCATCCAGAGTGGGAAGGAGGAGAAGGGAAGGGCTCTGCAGCTGCCATGAGGCTGTGAGCGGAGCAGCTAGTGTGTGGCAGGAGCGAGGGGTGACAAGCGGGGCCTTGGCGCTGCCGGAGCTGGGCCTGCTCGTCGGGACCTGTGGCTGGGCACTAGTGCTGTAGGCACTTCTGCGAGAGGTGTTTAAACTTGCTTTTCTTCAGTGGGTCAGCTGCCTTGTGTGTCTGTGACCAGCCTTCCTGGTTGTGTGGCCTGTGTTATTTCGTCTGTCAGCTGTCACTTCAGCTGTGATGCCTCTTTCCTTTGGTTGTCGTGTTTGTAGCTGACTTGGCTTTCCTTTCTCCGAAGTAGTAGTCTTGAAGCTTTAAGTGCTGAGGAGGCTTATGTCTTGTCTTTGAGGGAGCATGGGGTGTTACCCAATGTTAACACTCCCAGCTTCTCCGGGGAAATGCAAATTAAATGCTAAAACAGGAACTTTGTGAATTAATGTGTGTGTGTTTAGAATTTTTTCTTGTACTGGACAAGGTGCCTGGCTTAATCTACCTAGTCTACCTGGTTTAATAACTACCCCCAGCACACCTTGAATAAAGATAACACAGCCCTGTAACAGTCTGTGAGCTGCCTGTTTGATTTACATACTGTTGCATCTGAATGTATTTTGCATTGTGAATAAGCTTAACCCACAGGAAAATGACTTGTGTTGTAAGTGGTTAAGGGTGCCCAAGTCTTGTCAGCCTGTGTTTTCTTCAGCTTTTTGGAAGATGTATGTCGGCTGACTTGGGGGCTAGAGATACACCTGCCTTTACCTTTTTTTAGATAACTTCCTTTCATATGCTTCTTTTGCATTTTAATCTTTTAAAATGATTTTGATCCAGTAGAACAGGCAAAAGTTTGTTGAACAAGTGTTTTCTAGTTACTTGCTTTGAGCTGTGAACTAGCCAGTGCGTTAATCTTTTTTTCTGCTACATGTGAAACTATTAATATTTAAGTACCTGCCACTTGAGAATACAGAGTGCAAGTCTTCATAGGCTTGCAGGACCTGCAGGTGATGGGTGGAGGGGAAGGAAAAATATCATCTGTCTTGCAGCAATTGGTAACTTTGTTTATGTGCCCTTTCTAGCTTAGCAGACAGGAATATTGGGGGGAGGGGAAAATTCTCCCACAGTGAAGGCTGGAATAGCTTTAAACTCTAATGCTCAATGGCCAAAGATTAACTAGCTTGTTTCAGGCAGTAGGGCTGTCTTGGGATTCCAGCAGCAGGGGGGAGGATAGAAATACTCCTATCTTGTCTGTTCCTGTTTAGCTAATGAAACAGCAACATGAAACTGGTGTGTGGCCAGTAGATAAAGCCTATGCCTATAAAGGAAGCTTCATTAGGTATTAACCTTGAATAGGAATCATTGGTATGTACAAACTAAAAACTGACCCTGAGGTGGCGAAGCAGGAGAGGATCAGGATCTGTAGGAAGAGGAAGGGAGGGTAGGATAAGGGTGACTGAAGTGCAGTGGGAAAGATGGTGTAATCTGTCATGGGGAGGAAAAGGCACTTCAGAAATTGAGTAGTGGGACTGCCAAGCTAAGCTTGTGCAAGTACCCTGGTATTTCTTAATGTCAGTGGCTCGATAGTATTTTAAAGACTCCAGTCTGCAGTTAAACTGTTCTAGATCAAAATACTGAGAGCGAGTATTGTAGCCCCTCTTTCTCAGAACAATCAGTGGAAGACAAAATGGCATGTCATAGGCTGGGACTTGCTGTTATCAGTCCTGAATAGTGGTTTTCAGTGCTGGACAACTTCTGCTACGTGTTCTGGAAAGAACGAGAGTCTACCAGATCTTGCTTATGCTTTGCAAGAAAACTGCTTCTGCATGCTGCTGGGCCCAAAAGCAAGTAGGGAGATAATCTGCTAGCAAGGTGAAAGCTACCGCGTAAGGGTAATGTACTGTCAAGGATGCATAGCCTTCAGGAAGCTGGCCCAGCAGTTTGGGCTAATGACACAATTTCAGATCCATGGGAGGTGAAGAGAGCATGGTGAGGCTGTATTGCTGAGACTCCTAGCTCCAGCCTTGCTGCACAAGGTCGGCAAAACGTTCTTGTAGATGCTGAGTGTGGCTTAGGGGTTTGCTTCTGTTGCACAGTTTCCATTTTAGCTGGGCATGCTTCATGTTACAGATGGCATATGGGCTAAAAGTGCTTAGCCATAGGTTGTGCTCTGCAGGCAGACTGCTGCAGCAGGGTGGATTTGGCCTGTGCTGCCAAAGCTGTTGCTTGACCCTTTGAGCTGAGGAGGCAGTGGGTTGGGTGGAGGTGTCCTGTGTGGAGCAAGGTGAGATAGAGGGGCTTTTGCTTAGAATATGGGATCCTTGAATGTTGATAGCATCTTTCCCACAGCTCCCTCCCTCTGTGTGAAGGTGTGTGACTGCTTGGTTCCTGCAGAGGGTGATGCAGAAATCCCTCTGACAGAAAGGCTAAGTGATCAGGCCAGCTTATTGCACAGCCAGTGGCAACAGGTGCTCTGGCTATAGAGGCTGCCTTCTGCTTACTTGGCAAGCACTGCCCTTGGTGAGGAATGCCATTTCAATGTGACTAAATTGAGCTGTTATTCCCTTTTTATCTTTGTTTTAAGCAAAATAATTCAGTCCTTGCATCACGAGTTCTACAGTGCAAAGTCACAAATGTGGGAAAGCATTTTCTACAGCATAAGTAGCAGCATGAAGACTCGTTCAATTTTCCTGGTTATGTGTAACTCAGACTACTTCGGGACTGTTTCAGCTGAATGTCAGAGAGCTAACATCAAGTCTGTTACCAAGGCTGCAAAACCAAAGCTTCACATCTACTGTATTGGCTCTTTACTGCTGCATACGTGCAGTGTACTTTCAGACATATTTTTAATATCTTGATTAAAGGGAAACTTAAGCTACTTGTGCTGAATATGACTGAAATGTAGTTCCAGCACCTAATGCTGCTAATATTTGAAGGCCAGATACTCTGAAAGTCTGCTGTTTAACTCCTGGGTGTTGAAGCAAGGCCCTCTGGAACTGAGAACTCTGTATAAACTGCTAGAAAACATCATGATCTTTTAGTGCTCTCTGGAGAGCACTTAAACTGGTTTAATTAGAAAGACTACTCTGTAAAAAGTAATGGATTCTGGGTAGTGGCAGATGTAATTACTACTGAAGTCTTGTTTGTGGCTGTTGCTTGAATGACAGCAGGGAGGTGATCAGTAAGAGGAGAGGTTTTTTTATAAGGTAGCTGACAATAAGCAGAAGGCTCTGTGACATGCAAGTCCTTGTGGGACTCCTTCTGGGAGCCCAGCTATGTGGAAAACCCCAGATTAATCTGACTTTGCGAATAAATAGAGATTCTTATTTCACTAGCAATCAGATGTTGTACATGGTTGCTTGCACTGGCAGATTCTTTTGTTAGAATGCAGAAGTAAGATCGAGTCATCTAGAACTGATGGTAAAATTGCAAAGGGTGTAACTTTAAAAGCAGCTGTTCAGGCCGCTTGACAGAAGTGAGCGGCCTCAGTGGCTGAGGGCATATCCTTCCACTGGATGCCTACAAGCATGAAGATGTGTTTGCATTGGATGAGGCCTGGTCAGAAATTTAGGTCTGTCAAGCTGAAGCCTGGGTAGCTGATGGTCATCACTGGATTGTACTTCAATGATCCAACTCTTTTGTTGTTTTTTTTAACATCTCTAAGCAATAGGAAAAAAAGCAAGTGCTGTAAAACTCTACCTGGATTTGTCACAGTAGTGCTCTCTGCTGTCTCTTCTCTTGGGCTTCCAGATCAGGTGATTATCATAGTGTCCTAATTAGCACCTTAATATCTATTTTTAGTCTTCTGGTCCTGAAGCCTAGAAACATTAATCAATATGATGACTGTGTGTTATTCTGGAGGGCTCCGCTTGATGTCTTGTTCTCATTACCAGGTCAGACAGTTGTGGTGGACAGTATCTTTACTGAACAGGGAGAAGTTCTTCTTGAATCTTTAAGAAACCCTGGGGATC